AGACAAAAATATTGTAAGAGAAAATTCTTTATATTCAAGCTGATGTGATTGAAGCTTCCTATTGTCTCATTAAGTACATTACTAATTGAGTATCCCCGATTACTTAATAAAGTAAAAACAAAAAGGAGTAGTAAAATGTTAAGTTTAATTCGTCGACCAAGTGTAATAACAGATAAGGTACGAAATTTCTAATAATCTTTTAATTTATTATTTCATAATAACAAATGATTGTAAGAAACTTTGTTTGTATGGTAGTAAAGAAAAATAGCTTGAAGTATACAAGATGAATCTCTATAATTAACGGAAAAAATACAAATGCTTCTGCTGATCCAAAAGGAAGAAAACTGCAGTTTCTGTTTTTCATTGACTTGTAAATGGTAAACATCAGTTTAGTTGTAGGGTTAGTTCTAATACATGTATTACTGCGATTTTGACGCTGAAGCAAGGACGTATTTAAACTGAACTGATCGCAATTTTTTTTTAAGATACTGCCTGAAAATATATTTGTTTTTGAAAAAAAGCTACATTTTGCACTTTCAGCTTTTCATATATAAGTGGTATGGCATAGTCTGTTGGTTAAGGCGTTCGACTCGCAATCTAAGGGTCACGGGTTCGAATCCCTATCACCGAACATGCTCACCCTCTCAGCCGTTATAATGTTACGGCCAATCCCACGATTTGTTTGTAAACGAGTGGCCCAAGAATTGGCGGTGGGTGGTGTTGACCAGCTGCTTTCCCTCTAGTATATTACTGCTAAGTTAGGTACGACTAGCGTAGATAGCCCTCGTGTAGCTTTGCGCATACTTCAAACTAAACCAATCACATGTAAAATAGCAGTTTTTAAAATATAATAATTTATTAAAACAAAACGTTTGTATTAATCACAACCATTTATAAAATAAATTATGTTATTTAAAAACGATCGTTGCAGAAAACTTAACACATAAATTAGTTGATGTCGGTATATATAAATCCGTACATTTGTTAAAATAATATAATAATTAAAGTGACTTGCTTGTTTGTAGTTAAACACAAAGGGCTATCTGTGATCTGCCCACTACAGGTACCGTAACCCGGTTTCTAGCGTTGTAAGTCCGCTGACATACCGCTGTGCCACGTGGGGGGGGGGGGGGGCTTCATTAAAGCAAACTATTAAATCTTACAATGCTTAAGCTGACAAAATATGATCTTGCTTAGAATTACTTCTATGAAAAAATAACAGTATCAAATTTAAATTAATTGTAAACTTATTGCCTTTACCCAATTCTGTGTAACTTTCAAGTAAAAAATAAAAGTATAATAGCACTTCAAAAACTTTCCTTTAAACCCACAGCGTCTCACGTCATTATACAGAATGCAAGTGTTAGCTGAAGTGTTGGGGGGCTACATAATGTAACAGTCATATTATTGATATAAACTGTTCTGCAATGTAACTGTCTTATTATTGATATAAACTGTTATATAATGTAACAGTCATATTATTGATATAAACTGTTATGCAATGTAACTGCCTTATTATTGATATAAACTGTTATGCAATGTTAATGTCTTATTATTGACATAAACTGTAATATAATGTAACTGTTTTATTATTGATATAAACTACACTTTTGATAAGTTGGTCTAATTAATAAAATTTTCTTACGAAGAACGTTTTTGTTTCTTGGGACTGATTTGATTAATATAAATTGTTTTAGGGCAACAGATGTGATGCAAAGTTATAGTTAGCTTCATATTAAGTTTAAGCTCAGTTGAACGTATAACAGTGGTACAGCGGTATGTCAGCGGACTTACAACGCTAGAAACCGGGTTTTCGATACCCGTGGTGGGCAGAGCACAGATAGCCCTTGTGTAGCTTTGTGCATTATTAAAAACAAACAAACAAAAAAAACAAATACATTATGTAACTGTTTATATCAATAATAAGACAGTTACATTATATAACAGTTTATATCAATAATAAGACAGTTACATTATACAACAGTTTATATCAATAATAAGACAGTTACATTATATAACAGATTATATCAATAATAAGATAGTTACATTATATAACAGTTTATATCAATAATAAGACAGTTACATTATATAACAGTTTATAATGACAATAGTACAGAAGATGATAAAATGTGGAAAATCATTTCTAAAGAGAATTAAACGTAGATCTAAGAGATTAAACAACGGTGATATATATATATATATATATATGCAAACTATATAAAATAAATAATATTAGTAAAAACAAAACAAATAATATTTAAAGTACTATTTGTCTACTCTTCTGATTTCAAGTTCGTAATAGACAAATTAAGAGTAATAAATAAATAATACGTGCTTTATATAATACATGGTTTCTGGACTGGCAGAGCATGGTTTAATGGATATCCTGCTCAGATTGTGAATGTATGGAACTGTGGTTTACGACCTATTGCCACAAAAAACATGTCCCGAACGTTGGGGCTGTGAATGCATTAAAAGATTGAGGCTCAAGACCCGCTGTTCGGTCAAATATGGGTTTGGTGGTGGGTACTGGTTGACTAACTGCCTTCCTTCTAACTCAGTGGTTCTCGTTTCCTAACCACCTACTGGTCCTACCCTATCTGCTTTCGCTTCGCACCGCGAAAAAAACTCATCAGAATTAATGGGAAGAATAGCGTTGTTTTTGATGTGACTTGCATTTGAGTTAGCTTTCGGACTACCTGGAGGACACTACGAACTACCAGTGGGCTGCAGATCACACTTTGAGAACCACTGTCCTAATCTGTAACTTCAAAAGTAGAGACGGCTATGCGCAGGAAGCCTTTGTGTATCTTTGCGCGAAAATTCTAATAAACAAAGACCTAGAGATTTTTATTTGTTCGCCAGCTTTCGGTGTTCAAAATAAGAACTGTAAACTGTAAGTAGTAAAGGAACAGCAAATAAAACAAAGAGTTTGTTAAGAAAATAATATATTAGAATAATGCTTTATGAAAGAAATAGTGTGAAAATAGAACAGCATACAAACAAAACAAATAACAAACAGAATGTATTGAACAGTAAAACAAATGAACACCATATAAAAATTGTATTTTAAAAGAAACATAATGACGTATATTAACATTATATTTATACAGATTTATAAATGAATAGAGCACTTTATAAAAAGAAACGTATGTAACTATAAAGCTTAGGAACAGGACTATTTATAGAAACAGAAGGGCATAAGCAGAGCAGTTTAAATCCTGGTAGTTTAAAAGTAAAAGGAATATAATAAACAAACATTGTATACGTACAATAAGATATCAACAGAGTAGAAATTATAGTGTGAAGAACGTATAAATGCACGTTGGATAACACATTCTGTACTACAAACATCTGGTAACTGCAGTTTCAGCTCTCATTAGCCTAGTATATAAAGTTTTAAAGAGCACTATGGTAGGAAATGGCATGGGATGAATGGCACGGAGTAATATTTATACTATTTGGAATTATTTATTTATTTTCACTACATTTCGGGCAGAACGCCCTTGCTCAGATGCATTAAAGCCCGATAAGTAACAATGAACTAAACGTTCGATTCCGTTAAATAATTCAACGATAACACGAAAAATATAGAAATGGAGATTTGGAAAAAAAAAGGTAGGAGTACAAGCTATAGCAATCGAAGAAGAAAATGAAAACAGTGAAATAATAAACAAATAAATGCATTGGTTATTATGGCATATCACGCCTTGTCCTGGCGAAACATGATATATTGATCGGTAGTTTGTGTGTTAATATATCGTATAAGACTGAATATAATTTTCAGCAAATCTTTCTTTACAAATTCCCAGTAAGAATAAACGTAGTAGTATCTGGAGCGCATGCCTCGGGCATCGCATGAAACTGTCGACGAGGCCTATAACTCAATCCCAGAGTTAATCAATTCAGCTGAGAATTCATTACTCATAATGCTATTTATATCAGTCATTTACAATATATCAATTACTAAGTTATACAATGTCTTAGCATAACACTAACGTTAGCACATAATTTTCATTTTCGTATATTTGTTTTGGGATTATATCGCAAAGCTACTCAAAACCTATCTACTCTAATCGTCTATAATTTTGAACTGATAGTTTAGAGAGAATGCAACTACTCAACAAAACTAGCTCGTGTTTGACCGAATAATTGGATTTGATTCTTGCTCTTGTAACACATCGCACTCCGATGTCTGGAGCGTGATTTCTTGGGGGCAGTAACAAGACGATCCATAGTGTGGCACGATAGGCCATATGATTTTAATAGTGATAAAATAAAATTATACTGACTAGCCTTAATTCAACAATACACAAACAGATGGTTTTAAAATGAAAACAATAATTATAAAAGTTAGATGGATGGGTTTTATTGTTAGAACAAAAAGTAGTATGTTAATGAGAATCAAAAATCAGAGTAAAAGCTTTTGTTTCATATAAAGAACTAAGTAAGTCGATTCCACGAACAACACGAAAAAAAAAAACGCTTCATAAATAACGTCTGCTGTTAATTTTATATACAGTTTTGTATCGAGCCTTTTGTCTCGTTGATTTAACCTCCGTAGCGTGACGTATTACCGGTATTCGAACGTAATGAATGAAATGGTTATATCTATTGACATACTGGACAACTGGTTTGTCGATATTATTATTTCCATCGCTTCTATTTGTTTCCAGGCTCTTTCTGTCAAAATTTGGCATTATAGATAACAATTATATAAATATTATATATCAGATAATAAACATGATAATCTATAAACAGACCAAATTTCAACATAACATTCCAAACACATTATTCTTGCATACACAGCATAGTTAACAATGAAAAACTCCAAACTAGTTCACACAACAGGAAGGTAAATGTTTGGAAAATAAATCTTAAACAACCTGGCATTCTCTAACATATTAAGATCTTGACCTTAGTTACTCTCTAGGTAATGTATCATTATGAGGGATGACAGAAGTAATTTTAAGAGCAAGTTAACACGTTTTTATTTACAGTAGCAGTTCAAATGAATTACTGAGAGACGATATTACAGAAACTCGAGAACAAGATTCGAAAGACCCGGATATCATTCCCGCCCAGGATGACTGGAATTGTGAGTATATCACAATATTATGTTTCTTAATTCATCTAACAACAAGCAGATTGGAAGGTTTTTTTTTATCACAGTACTACTTAAAATTATTTTTCACATTTATTAATATATATCTAAATATCTATGCATCAAACTCATTCATCGTTCACGAAAATATGATTAATTACTTTCATTAATATTTTTAATAATCTGTTCTACCGTATACCAGCACTATTCTGAATAAATTGATCAATGTTGTTTTACTAAATCAACTCAAAAGATTAGCAAACAAAATTAGAATACTTTTAAATGGAATGCCTAATTATGTTGGATACAGTGGATAAAATAACTTTCTTCCGTATAAATTAGAAGATTAATATTTATTCAAAAAAAATATATATTAAGTTATGTCATTTTTTTCTTATACCCTATGTTTGTATGGACAATGAACATGAAATAAATAATGATGAGACGCCATCTGAGCGTCTATTTCATTATTACACAATTTTGAACTGGAGTAAGAAATGAGATATGTAGTTTTGTTTAATAGATATTTGATGATTTTGCTATTTTTCGTGTAAGAAGCACATTTGGCATTTTACCTTATCGCTTAACATTTAAAAACGATGAACCAAAATAAGAAAAAAAAACATTAAAAAGTCTAAGTCATCATCGGTATGCGATTTTACTGAACACAGAATATTATACAAAAAAATGTAATATAGACGTTCATGCAAATAGACCGTCCGTAAAAAGAGGAGCATATGCAAAATCCTGTTCTTAAAATACTGCACCCAGCATAAAATTTATTTTTAATAACAACATTGGTTCTTAAAATACTGCACCCAGCATAAAGTTTATTTTTAATAACAACATTGGTTTTTAAAATACTGCATCCAGCATAAAGTTTATTTTTAATAACAACATTGGTTCTTAAAATACTGCACCGAGCATAAAATTTATTTTTAATAACAACATTGGTTCTTAAAATACTGCACCGAGCATAAAATTTATTTTTAATAACAACATTTTGAAACTTTAAATTATTATGTTCAAAAAATATTTGATTAAGTGTTTCTTCTAAAATCTTAATGTTAGTTCTAAATATTTTATGTACGTTTATAACACATTTTATTCTTTACATTCTTTGTCTATAACACATTGTTTACACATAACTTCTGTGTATGTTTACACTTAAGTATAATGTGAATTATACTGTGCTGTGTCCAGAGAGAGGAAACGTAGTAAGATCACAGGATACGTGCAAATCACATCATTGTGCTACAAATAGCACTTTCTAAGCGTTGTTGAAACAAAATACACACACGCACACATAGTGTAGTTATCATATAAATGGTAAACCAAATAATAATATTAGATAAAACACAGCAGACATGTTAAAATGGGTTTCACAAACATGCATAAATTGTAACCCCGAAAAAAGGGTACGACAACAAATTTAACCTAAGTCAAAAAAATAAGCTTTGTAGCAACCTCGGAATAGAAAGAAAATGTGCTACCATTGGTAAAACTGAAGCAAACAAAAGCTGTACCACAACGTATTTAACCACTAATTACAATGATTTTGTGATACAACAAGTGTGATCCGCTATAAAAAGACGCTATAAGAACAGCTATTACAATCTACCAAGAATAGCCGTATTATAACAAATTCAATTACAGTCTAAGAAGAAGCTGTGTGCTAACACAAAGCAGTCATGGCCTAAGAATATGCGTGCTAAAAGAAATGTGGTCACTGACAAAGAAGAGGCTGTGGCACAACAAACGTATTTCTAGACTAAGGTAATGCTATGCACCGACAGATATAATTAATTTAAAAGAAAAGATGAAAAAAAAATATTGTACCTAGCGGGACGCTCAGTAGAGCGCATACCAGCGTTGATCATAAGCGGCTCTCAAAAACAAAAAATGAAAATGTGTCCGTATGTCCGTCGTTATCAACAAACACGAACTACGAGGAACAATGAGGAATAATATTCTACATATGACAACCAGGTTTCATCAAAATCTGATCATTTTTGTCTGAGTTATAGAGTAAATATAGCGTGAAAAATCAGTCCCCATGTTAGCAGATAGGGATTTTTTGGATATTCGTGACCCTGCTGTGACTTTCAGCTTTGATCTTGACCATCCACAAACTAATCAATTCTAGTATGGGTCATAATCCAAATGTATGCCAACTTCTGTCCAAATACATTCAGCTGTTTTTGAAAAACCTTGCTGACAATCACACATACACACACACAGGGGTAAAAAATCCGTTAGTCGTCTTTGGTGACGGAGGTTATAATAAGTCTATGAGAAAAAAAATCATTTCATTTTGTAATATTAATAGTTAAGTAATATGTAATGAAGTTTAATGTAAACATCATACTAACTCAAGATGTCTTAAAATAGAACAGATCATTTCGATTAGGATGATTTAATGTGATGTCAGACTTATTAGAATTCACGAGACTGAGTGAATGAAGGTGAATCTCGAGATCCTCAAACAATAACATCGATAGCTTATTTCCGAGACGAAAAGAAGTGAATGTGAATTCTTAAATAGCAGACAAAACTACTAGAATAAAACAGAAAATGTTCCAAATTAGGAAATATTAGAATATAAATGTCTAAAATATTGACGATCGATATCTACACTCCGACTGCCAATGGTTGTATTGTAAAGTTTAATAGTTTCTGATCAATTGGAGGGCAAAATGGTTGTTTCATACGTTTTTTATTTTTATACATTTTATGTGTTCACAACCAGATTTTGAGAATACAACGTCAAATATTAGGCCAGAAAGTGTTACATATAAATTATTACCAAGAACCAAGTCAAATTCATTGCATTTGAAACGAACAAACAGGAGAGCAAATTGTATGTTTTCTTCTATCAGTTCTTTTGATAACATATATTGTGAAACGCCCATTTCGCCCTTCAGTTGGTCAGAAACTATTAATCTTGACAATACAACTACTGGCAGTCGAAACGTATGAAAGAACGATTTTGCCCTCCAGTTGATCAGAAATTATCAAACTTGACAATACAACCACTGGCAGTCGGAGCGTATGAAACAACCATTTTGCCCTCCAATTGATCAGAAACTATTAAACTTGACAATACAACCACTGGCAGTCGGAGTAAATTAAATATGAAAATATATATGAATGGGAAGAGTGGGTCCATCTAATATAAGATAACGGATTACAATTTCATACAAAACACATTTTTACAGCATTTATTTGTCCTTTTACATATTTATTGACCATTTGCATCCTTCTAGTTTCACTTAAATTAACTATTAGCAATGTGGAAGACTTGGATAAAAGTTATAGTAATCAGATGTATGTCAAAACCTATGAAAATCCTCAGAAAATTAAGACTTATGTTAAAAAGACTCGCAAAGTTTTTCAACTTCTTCTGGCATTTTATTCATACCTTCGAAAACTGATATTAAAATATCAAGTAAATTGTTGAGACGTATGGTTTTCCTATTGTTAGATTGTCTTGTATAATCCATTTTTGCATAAGTTGGTTGCGTGTGTAAAGAAAAAGTAAATGAACTGAACAATGAGGACATAGGAACAAAAGTAATGTAATATCTAGAAGCTTCGTGAACTTCTAATACAGATAACTCATAAAATGACCATGGGTCAAGTAAAAAAGGACCCGGTTGTACTAAAAATACAATGTCCGATTCAAAGCGCCAACTCTGATGAAGAAGTATATGTCTGTTATTCTTAGCCCGCCACGTAAATAAATTAATGAAAACTTGGTAACATACGAATGAATATATTTGCTTTCAAAGTAGCATCTATTTATAGCAAATCCTTTTAGGGCCAATTTCCATGTGTTAATTCCAAGTTTCCTTTGAAAACTTCATCTACTGTAAATATAGTAAATTGCTTATAGAAATATATTTACTTCTGTTTTGATTCGCTTCAAACAAATAAACTGGTATAAATAATAGGTTTACCACGAAGAGAACCAGATCAGAGTTTGTGCGAGATGCCTGTAACGACAGAGCGATGTATGACAAGTCATATCAGACAACATAGTTATACCAGTGTGCCTGAGCAGTCAACAAGTAGTACTTCACTAATGCTGCAGGTAGGAGAGCTCTAGCGTTGATTAGTAAATATAAGATAGTTATTACATTTAATCCCATACTTATTGTTTACCTAAGATCGGTCATGGTGTGATAATTCATTGATCACTAAGTTGGAAGTGTTTTGTTATATCACACCAGATCATCTTACTGCCTTGTCAGATCTCTCTAATATACTTTAATTAGAAATTAAAGTAAGTTACCAACAGCAAAAAGTAATTTTTATTGAAACTAACGGAAAAAAAGTATGAGGAATAATAAGTTTATTTAAAATTTGAAGTTAAATCCAATACTTTTAAAGACATGTACTAATTTTTCCTGAGAAAACTTATTATTAATTATAACAGTTTCTTTATTTATTGTGTTCTATGTACTAACAATAGATGAAAGTAGATTTATTTACGATAAAAATTAAGTACGCGTAACAACGCCTAATGAAAGCTTACTACAAACATCTTGATTCAAGCCTTCAAAAACTATAAAACTAATTACTCATATACCCATATAATATAATGTTTAATTCTTAAATACTTTTGAACAATGGAAACTCACCCATGTACACCACTAGTTATATAGCCACTACATATTACACTTCAATATGCATGTTCTCAAATATACACAAATGAATAGAAAAAGGATAGAAATACAATTACTAATTAATTTTACATCCAGCTGTTAGTTGTGTACCATCGCTGTTTACAGAGTCTTCAGCTGTAAGTCTGACAATAATTCGGCTTTTTTAACAGATTTAGTCTAGGCCTAAATCACGCCTCTAATCACTCGTTTAAAATACGTCGATCTAGAACTTTTTTATAAATGCAGAAAGTTACGTAGCAAAACCTACAAACATAAAGCATATAGAGACATGAAATAATTATAAGTTTCCTATGCTAATCGTGAAATACACTGAGCTAAACTGTATCATAAACTATCGATACCTCTATAAATTTGTTTGTTTGAAATTAAGCACAAAGCTACACAATGGCTATCTGTGCTCTGCCGACCACGGGTATCGAAACCCGGTTTCTAGCGTTGTAAGTCTGCAGACATACCGCTGTGCCACTGGGGGGCAACCTCTATAAATATTAATCACATTTACCAAACTTGATAATTCAAACTTAGGGCACATTTTGTAAACCTGTGTAGACTTTTAAATAAACAGACTAGGGAGTCGTAAATATTACTACCGTGCTCTTATTTCGTCTAATCTCCTGGTAGCGATTTGCTTATGCTGCAAATACTTAGAAAACTTGGCAACTGATTTTATGACTTTAAGACGTTTAGATAAATCCTTTTAGTTTTTGGACTAAAATGAAACTGAACAGTTATCTGTTGCTTCTAGAAGAGTTGTGGATGTCGTTTAAAGCACGAGAATTGCTGCAAGGCCGAGTTTCTGCCAATGAGAAGAGAGTCAACTGTAGAGAAAGGTCCCGCAAGTTATAACGCACTCACTACCTCTGGAAGACCAAGTGGAGAACAGAGAGGAAACAAAGTAACACACGAATCGAGTTTTCATAGTAACTCAAGTGGCCTTATTAGTACGGTAAATACTTCCACATCTATCTATAACCTTTATGTTTACCTTCAACAAGATAATCATCGTTATAAACCAGTATATTCTGCAAAACTATAACATAATTTTCGATACTTTTTATAGCGTGAAAAATAAATATGTTGTATTCAAAGATTCATTATTTTTAGTATATTTTTACTTATTTATTATCAATATATTTATTTTGAACATTATGTTTGTTGTTTGTTTGTAGTTCAGGAGAAAGCTATACAATGGGCTATCTGTGCTTTCCTCATCACGGGTATCAAAAACCGATTTTTTGGCGTTATAAGCCTTCACATTTACCGCTGCGCCACTGGGGGGGGGGACTTTATCATTGTGATAAATCTTAAAGCGTATTTCGTTATTTCATGTTTGATATCTATATTGATTTATTTTTAAATATACCAAATTATTTGATATATTCATAGGTTTACCACTCAGTTTGCGAGGTAATGAGACTGAATTCGTATTCAAGTGAGAAACAAACAAAATGAAAATGTATTCCGATAATGCAATCGACCTGTTACCTCAAAAAATCACAATGTACTGCCAAAATTCCACATCTCAGTAGTGTTTGGCCGTACTGAGTTCATTCTGCACAAAATAGTAGTTCATACTGATGTACTATGACTGCTTGAATGAAAAGCGCTTATGAATATTAGATACCGCTTGTTCAAAAACAGAAGTAGAACAATTGATTGGTCTATATTCTTTCATGTGCCGTGCTGTCATGGTGCTACTACTACTACTTCCTCTGATACTACTACTACTGCCCCTGGTGCTACTGCCACTGTTATCTCTGCTACTGCTGTTCTACAACTGGTAATGCTACTACTGATACTGCCACTGTTACCTCTGCTACTGCTGTTCTACAACTGGTAATGTTACTACTAATACTGCCACTGTTACCTCTGCTACTGCCGTTCTACAACTGGTAATGCTACTACTAATACTGCCACTGTTACCTCTGTTACTGCTGTTCTACAACTGGTAACGCTACTACTAAGTCTACCACTGTTACCTCTGCTACTGCTGTTCTACAACTGGTAATGTTACTACTAAGTCTACCACTGTTATCTCTGCTACTGCTGTTCTACAACTGGTAATGTTACTACTAATACTGCCACTGTTATCTCTGCTACTGCTGTTCTACAACTGGTAATGTTACTACTAATACTGCCACTGTTATTTCTGCTACTGCTGTTCTACAACTGGTAATGTTACTACTAATACTGCCACTGTTATCTCTGCTACTACTATTGCTACAACTAATGCTACTACTAATACTGCCACTGTTATCTCTGCTACTACTATTGCTACAACTAATGCTACTACTAATACTGCCACTGTTATCTCTGCTACTACTATTGCTACAACTAATGCTACTACTAATACTACTTCTGTTAGTCATGCTGCTATTGCTACAACTAATGCTACTACTAATACTACTTCTGTTAGTCATGCTGCTCTGCTACAACTAATGTTACTACTAATACTACTTCTGTTAGTCGTGCTGCTACTGGTGCAACTAATGCTTCTACTAATACTACTTCTGTTAGTCATACCACTACTAATACTATTTCTGTTAGTCATGCCACTACTAATACTACTTCTTTTAGTCATGCCACTACTAATACTACTTCTGTTAGTCATGCTGTTGCTGCTACAACTAATGCTGCTACTAATACTACTGCTGTTAGTCATGCTGCTCTGCTACAACTAATGTTACTACTAATACTACTTCTGTTAGTCATGCTGCTCTGCTACAACTAATGCTAATAAGAATACTACTTCTGTTAGTCGTGCTGCTACTGGTGCAACTAATGCTTCTACTAATACTACTTCTGTTAGTCATACCACTACTAATACTACTTCTGTTAGTCATGCCACTAGTAATACTACTTCTGTTAGTCATGCTGCTCTGCTACAACTAATGCTGCTACTAATACTACTTCTGTTAGTCATGCCACTACTAATACTACTTCTGTTAGTCATGCTGCTCTGCTACAACTAATGCTGCTACTAATACTACTTCTGTTAGTCATGCTGCTCTGCTACAACTAATGCTGCTACTAATACTACTTCTGTTAGTCATGCTGTTGCTGCTACAACTAATCGCTGCTACTAATACTACTACTGTTAGTCATGCTGCTCTGCTGCAACTAATGCTTCTACTAATACTACTTCTGTTAGTCATGCCACTACTAATACTACTTCAGTTAGTCATGCCACTACTAATACTACTTCTTTTAGTCATGCCAATACTAATACTACTTTTGTTAGTCATGCTGCTCTGCTACAACTAATGCTACTACTAATACTACTTCTGTTAGTCATGCTGTTACTGCTACAACTAACGCTGCTACTAATACTACTTCTGTTAGTCAAACTACAACTAATGCTACTAGTAATACTACTTCTGTTAGTCATGCTACAACTAATGTTACTATTAATACTACTGTGTGCTAAAGTAGTTCGTAAGTAAGAGTGTGGTATTTCCAGATTAAGTTATTTTCCTTAAAATATCAGATAGTTAGACCCACTAAATAAGGAATATTCGATGAGTAAACAAGGAATGTATTCTGTGTATGGTAGCTTCACTGAGTTTTATTAGTGTATTAGAAATAATGAAACGGGATACGTTTAGATAAATCAACACAATCTTTACTATACTGAACAAAAATAAAATGCAACATACGTAACTGTGCACATGAAAAAACAGACAATTGTTTCTACTGGGTAGTAATTAGGTCTACAGTTTTTCTATTTAGATACACTTCTGTCCACCTAAACACACTGATCTTAAAGTATATCTTTCTCAAAAAACCCCAAGGAGAACTGAACCAAGAAAGTGTACATGAATTCAACACGTAAACTCGATTTCTTTGTCCAGTGGACAATGTCACCTCGTGACTCTTGTTCTCTAACAGTATTAGACGGCTGTAAAGGACAGACAATGTCGATTCAGGTATCAAAGGATATTATAGTCGCTTATCCTTTCAGCCTATACATTATTACAATATCCTCTGGGGCATATTATATATTAACTACTATAGATAACAAAGACACAAAGCAACTAAAACAAGGAATATTTCTGGATCACTCGATTGTGCTGAAGCTGCAAACAAATTAAATAAACGAAAATTTTTAAAATCATTTCTATATCACTAAAGCATGTAGAAAACATACGATATGCCTGCATATCAAATGGGCATATTGTAAATTATCACCCTTTTTAACCTTTAAACTTAGTTATTTCTGCTATGTACCCTTATATAAACATTACATTATATTACATTTATATAGTCAAACCCACTAATACTTACGGTATGAAGCCGTAAGTACGTAAAATGCTAAAATAATATTCTGAAAATGTAATATGGGAAGTGGCGGAAGTGGTCTGAATGAAAACAATAGAGTGGAAAGTTTTAGTTTGAGAAGTGACACGAATACAAATATTAGTAATAATGATGCTTAAGCCTGTTTTCTGATATCAGAAAACTCAAGTAACGCATATTATTAATGCCGGTGACGTCACTTCCGATTAGCCAAAAACCAGTGGTCTCCCATAAGCCAAAGTTTCTTGGATAACGTCTCATTGGTTCAGATGACACACTCGCGACGTAACTTCCAGTTAACACATCAAAGATGGCAGCCTCCTATGAGTGCATCCATTTTGGATAAGCTCCTTTTAGTGAAAAAGCTTGGATAAAATGGCACCTCTAAGGTTGAGGTCATCTTGTTTGACATCACATCCACTTCACTCCCAGCTATTGACGCAGACATCTTGGAAAAGATGTATTCAGATTGTTAATGGAGTGTTCCCCTCCAGCTCGTTTGATTTGAATAAACAATGAGACAGAAAATATCACTCCTTGACTGTCGGAGAACTTGGCATCATTTGGAATAGCATCCAGCTCATAACTAGATTACGTGTTTATATTAAATGTTTATAACATTAGATGAAATAACAACTTCCTATACATTAGTCTTGAAAAGCACTAAGCTATCTTTATACTTATTTACATTAAATCAAACATACAGACTTCATTGTGCGAGGACAGAGCGTGAGCACGTGGTTAGCGTGCTGGACTGTGGAGCAGAGGGTAAATAGGTTGCCGCAAATAAAAAAAAATACAATAACAACTTTCTACTCGCTTTGGGGCTGAGAGTTCGTTGTAAGAATTGTGGCCAAAACCCACTGTCTGATTAAAGTAGCCCAGTGGGTGATGTTGACGAGCTGCCTTACTTCTAGTCTATACCTTCAAAACTTGGGACATCAAGTGTAGATAGCCCTTGTGTGGCTTTGTGTAGCGAATATTCGAAACGAACAATTTAATTTTATGATAAATATAAAGAAGTTGGAAGTGGCAATACACCGTGTAATTCATTAAGCATGTTAAATCTAACAATTTATATATTTCTTTTTTTTTTAATTCACTTTAATTTTATGTGCAGAACTGACACAAGAGATATTACTGTAAACAAGTTACTGAAATTTGAAGTTCAAACACATATCATTTTGAAAGATAATATAATATTTCGAGATATGCAATTAATATGTATAAGTGTAATTGTGAATATCTTAAAAATTATCTATATGAAATTGAGCTAAATCATCTCTCATGACCTATATACAGCGTGGAGCAAAAATGACTATTTTCATTAATACCAACCGTAAAAACCGTATAATACTAACTGTATAGTAATTTTTGCCTAACACTTTATAATATATTCAAGCTAGTTTAACCTTACATCACTAGAACAACTATATAATATTTATAACTACAACAATAATTATAACTATAATTATAATTGTAACCATAACTATAACAATAATTATAACTATAACTATAATTATAATCATAACTATAACAATAATTATAATTGTAACTATAACTATAATTATAATTGTAACCATAACTATAACAATAATTATAACTATAACTATAATTATAACCATAACTATAACAATAATTATAATTGTA